CACCGCTGGCGGCCCGCGTCAGCGCGGTGCCACCGACGCTGCTCTGCAGGTTGATCTCCGCGCCTCGCAGAAGCAGCAGCTCGACCACCCGCTCGTGGCCTCGGCCGGCGGCTAGCGTCAGCGCGGTGCCGCCGTTGCTGCTCTGCAGGTTGACCTTCGCCCCGCGCTGCTGCAGCAACTCGACCACCCGCTCGTGGCCGTACAAGGCGGCGCCCATCAGCAGCGTGAGGCCGCTCGCGCCGCCTCTCTTGTACGTCGCGTCGGCCCGCCCGCCGCTGTCGAGCCACTCCAGCACCGCCTCCTCCTCGCCACGCTCAGCCGCTTGCACAACCGCTTCGGGGGCTGCCGCGACACCGCTCGACGCCCGCCCCGCCGCCACCGCTGGAGATGGCGTCTTCGCGACTCTCGATCCAGCCGAGGAAGCGCCGCCGGAGGAAGCGCCGCCTGCGCCTGCGCCGCCGGCTGCCGTCGCCGCGGGCTGTCCCGCCACGACCGACTCCTTGACGTGCTGCCGGAACGCCTCGACGCACTCGGCGTGGCCCTCCTCCTTGGCCACCTGCAGCGCCGTCTTGCCGTTCGCACTGCGCGCCGCGGTGTCTGCGCCCGCCCGCAGCAAGCGCCGCACGACGGCGGAGCGGTTGAAGACGGCGGCGCGCATCAGCGCGGTGTAGCCGTCGCTCCTCTGCAGGTTGACCTCCGCGCCGCGCCGTATCAGCAGCTCGACCACCCGCTCGTGGCCGTAGTCGGCGGCTAGCGTCAGCGCGGTGCCGCCGTCGCTGCTCTGCAGGTTGATCTCCGCGCCTCGCAGAAGCAGCAGCTCGACCACCCGCTCGTGGCCGTGGATGGCGGCGCCCATCAGTAGCGTGATGCCGCTCACGCCGCCTCTCTCGTACGTCGCGTCGGCCCGCCCGCCACTGTCGAGCCACGCCAGCACCGCCTCCTCCTCGCCGCGCTCCGCTGCTGCGCTGACCGCATCGGGGGCTGCCGCGGCACCGCTCGACGCCCGCTCCGCCGCCGCCGACGACAGATTGCCCGGCCGCACCCGCACGCTCTCGCCGCCGCCCTCGAGTGCCACAGCGTACCGCCCGCCCTCGAAGCTCCGAGCCACGCCCCGCTGCCCGTTCAGCTCGGGGCGGGAAGAGAGCCCGCCGAGCACGACTCGCTGGCCGAGCAGCGGCGCATCCACCGCTGCCGCTGCCGCGCCCGACGAAGCGCCGCCCGCCCCTGCCCGGCCCTCCGCCGCCGCCTCAGCCAAGACCTTGACGCACTCGGCGTGGCCCTTTTCCTTGGCCCACTGCAGCGCTGATCTGCCGTTCTCAGCGCGCGCCGCCGTGTCTGCGCCCGCCCGCAGCAAGCGCCGCATGACGGCGGGCTGGTTGAAGAGGGCGGCGTGCATCAGCGCGGTGAAGCCTTTGCTGCTCTGCAGGTTGACTTCAGCGCCGTGCCGCAGCAGCAACTCGACCACCCGCTCGTGGCCGTTGGCGGCGAGCATCAGCGCGGTGACGCCGTTGCTGCTCTGCAAGTTGACCTCAGCGCCGCGCCGTATCAGCAAGTCGACCACCCGCTCGTGGCCTCGGCCGGCGGCTAGCGTCAGCGCGGTGCCACCGACGCTGTCCCGCAGGTTGACCTTCGCCCCGCGCTGCAGCAGCAGCTCGACCACCTGCTCGTGGCCGTTGCTGGCGGCGATCATCAGCAGCGTGATGCCGCTCACGCCGCCTCTCTCGCACGTTGCGTCGGCCCGCCCGCCGCCGTCGAGCCATTCCAGCACCGCCTTCTCCTCGCCTCGATCAGCCGCTAGCACGGCCGCGTCAGAGCAGCTCGGGGATCCTGCGCCGCTGCTAAGCTCGCGTCCTCCAGGCGAACCACGGCCGTGCATCTCTGGCACTCACAATTTGCCTGGGTTCTGGCTCTTTGGTCGGGGAGGGGCACCCACTCATTTTATTTAGAAAACGAGCGCAAGAGTCCACAGTACTGTACGCGAGCCGAAAGGCGAAACGATCGCGGCCGTGCAAGCATAAAACCACGGAAACGGGGAGGAGGCGCGGAGGGCTCGCGAGCATCGCTGCTCGGCTACTCAGTCGCGCGCCACGGTGGTCCCGCCCACATACTCGGCGCGAGTCTCAACCTCCGCAGAGTAGTCAGTCTTGGAGAACCCTGTCCACGCCTGAGGATTCTGCACTAGCGATTCTGCCACCCAAGACAGGATTCTGTATGCGGAGGCTCGAGAGGGATTCGTGTCCGTTTCTTCTGATTCTCACTCTCCTTTTCCGGTTCTGCCTACTCGATCTGATTCTGCCCGTCCCCTTTCCACGCACTCAGCCTCCGGGCAGGATTCCTCACCCAGCTTCCGTTTCTGCCTAATCGATCTGATTCTGTCCGTCCGATTCTCGCCTTATCAGATTCTGTCGCGCGGTTGCGGTTTCTTTTGGATAACGGAACGGATTTTTCTCGCCCGCCGATTTCTTGGCAACCCGGCCGGACTCTCGTTTCCTGATTCCTGTTTTTGCCCGTCGAGGGGCGGTAGCCCGGCCGGCCGGCCATCTGGGCATGCTCACTCAACCAATCACGCTCATGTGTACGCGCCGTATCCTCCGCGCCACCCACTTTGCCATCGAAGTGCGCTCCGCGCTCCGCACAGTACAGTCGCTTTTGAACGGCGGCTCATCACACGTGCGTCAGAGATCTCATGGGCGGTGGCATGGTGGAGCCAGAGCAGTGCGCGGCCGATCTTAATTCTGGGCAGGCGGTCTCCCATTCCCGCGGGCGCTTGGTGCCGGGGTTTGAACGGCATGCCGGCGTCAGATGCAGCTTGGCGCCGGCCTGCGGCGACCCCGCAAGCGGTCGTTGGTGCTGCTCAGCGATGCTCACAGCGGCACGTCTGCTCTTTTGCTGTGGGGAGTGCTGTCTGATTGGGTCTCCAAGCCCGCGGGCTCGCTGTGAATGCACCCGCCAGCTGGGCCTCCGTCCCACAGCCGCCCGGGCGTGCCAGGGGTCGGCCTGGCGCTGCGCTGCTCGCACGCTGCACTGCACAAAGCTGCGACAACAAGGGGAGGCTCCTGAGCTTCAGTGTTGAGCAGTGCAGCTGCGGGCGCTCGTGGGCGGCTGTGCAGTGGTGAGAGTGCCTGTTTGGAGGCGAGCTGGCGCTGCGCCAGGGTGCGCAGCATGCTCCCTTGCTCTGTCCTGAGGCATGCTGGTTGGCGCCCAGCACAATGCCCTGGATGCATTGCTCCACGCCGTGCTGGCTGGTGCAGTACTGCCAATGCGCCGACTGGCGCGCAGGGTGCGCGTCGCCGTGCGTGGCACGGGAGGCGCGAGAGGCGCGGCTGTCGGTCAACCCCGCGGCGCATGGGCGCCGCGGAAGCTGCTCGACAGGCTGCGGGCATCGCTGCGGCAAAAAGCGCCCGCCCTCTGCTTTGCTTTCGCCCGCGTTTTACGACAACTTTCGGTTTATCATAGCCGCCGAACTTTACCTCGCTGTTTCTTTATAGGTACTTCGCAGCTGCGTATTCTTGTATTATCGTCGAGTAGTACTGGTACTGCGTGGGGGCAGTACGTATTCTCGTATCACTAGCTCCGAGTAGAGGGGGCGTTCTGCAGTTAAGGGGAAACCTGGTACACGGAACTAACCCTCGGAGAGTATTCTAGCTCCGAGTAGAGGGGGCGTTCTGCTGCTAGGGGAAACCTGGAGCGCGGAGCTAACCCTCGGAGACCCGTGTTTACTTTAAGGCCCTTGCCCTGCGAATGCGCACCCCCCCTAGCTAGGGGTCAGGGCTCTCTAGCCCGTAGCCCGATGCCGATCATCCGGCTCGCTGGGTGCGCTTCTCAGCTCCCCGGCCCTGGATGTGAGGTTGATGACTGCACTCCAAGTGCTCCAAGTGCTGCCTCAGAGTACCCCAAGGGTACGATCGCCTCAGAGTACCCCAAGTCGCCCCACTGCAGAAGGAGCTCGGGCACCGGGATTTAACGGGAGTGCAGAGCCTGGACGCACACCGTACGGAACGTATCCTCATCCACATGCACCATGCCGAACACGCCGAGGTCGGACAAGGCACCGAGGATGCGGCGCCAAGCCGCGGCCAATACGGCCAGCCGCAAGACGCTGAGTCTGTCAAAGTAGGTGGCCACAGCGGGCTCGGGCTCACAGAACGGGAGAAGTGCACTGATGGCGACCCACTGCGGAATCTGGACCCACGACGGTTGCATCCCTGGAGGAGGGGGCAGATTGAGGAAGGCCGGATTGCCCACCGCAGACCACGGAATGAAGCGCCGGGTAGAGCCTACCACTGCTGAGTCGACGGGTATCACCAGTGGCTTTGCGGGATCGGGGTGCTGCTCGGCCGGAATGCTGAGCTCGGCGGCGGCGAGGTCTGGCATCGCAGCGCCGGTCGTCTCGTCGAGGGCTACCTCTCGACTCTACTCCCGTGTCACAACAACGAGGCACGAGAGCGTGCACGACAGAGCGACGGCGCAGCGTACTGCCGTCCAGCTAAAAAGCGGCGGCCGACGGTTGCTGCGCAAAGTGATCAGTTCTAAAATAGGTGCCGGGGCCCAACGGATAGATGAATCCGGGGCACCCTCCGCTCGAATCCCTGGCCAGGGGTTCGAGGTGGCCCCCACCCTGGGGCCTCCCATCAAAGGGACTGCTGCAGAAGACGCCCAATCTTGCACAAGTGCAAGAACCATACACCTCGCGACACAGGGGCCGATGGTCATCGTCTCCTCACCTCCGCGCATGCCTGCGAATAGGTGCTTCGTGTACCCGACCATGTGCCCGGCACGCCACATGTGTCGAATACCGACAGACTGAAGGTTTCATCTCCAGGGTAGAGGACACGCACGGTAGGTAGTTGGAAGTTGCTTATTGCCGCCCCCACAGCTCGCACATTCGCATGCCACTTGCCACAGCGCGGCGCTGCCAGCGGCCAGCGCAAAACCAAAAGGCAAATGCCACGCCGCACGCCGGCCGGCGCTCTCTGGGTCTGGCCTCTGACTGGCGCGCTCGCTGTCCATCCTTGTTTCTACACGTTTCGACGCGTGACAACGTCGCAACTCGCAAAGCACGAATCTCTACGGGAGTCGGGAGACGGACGGGAGCACACAAATAGACAGGACTCAGGAGGCCGGGCGGGACAGCAAAACGCTCACTCCTCACAATCTCAAACGGACCTCTGTGACCACGGTACTGTCGTACAACAAGACGCGCACGCTCTCTCTGCGCTGCGGACTGCGCCGCCCTCTCTACCTCTCCGAGTACCTCTCAGCCGGAGTCCTCCTCTCCACAAACGGCGACGCCTCGCTCTCGCTCTCGGCCGCCGACCCGCCCGCCACCAGCGCGCTGATCCGCTCGCTCGGCGGCGCGCTCGGCGACGAGAAGGCGAAGTGGTCGAGGAAGTGCAGCACCTGAAGAAAGGTTCCGAGACGGTTCCGAGACGGTTCCGAGAGAAGGCGCAGTGGTCGAGGAGGTGCAGCGCCTCCAGCGGCGAGCGCAGCGCGTACGACGCGGCGGTGTCGGTGATGAGGCGAGGGAAGTCGGACACGATGATGCCGAAGCCGCCGAGGCCGCCCATCACCCGGAAGGCGTCCTCGTCGGTCACGTCATCGCCGATGTAGATTGGGAAGACGGGCAGCTCGCAAGAGCGCTTGATCCAGTTCTCGATCAGCCACTCGACGGCCTTGCCCTTGTCCCACTCTGCCGACGGCCGGAGCTCGTACACCATCTTGCCGTACGTGCGCCGCAGCATCGGCATCTCCGCCACGATCCGCTCGACCGCCTCGTTGACTGCCTCGCGCTCCTCCTCCGCCACCTGTTCACAGCCCAGGTGTGAAGAGGCGCCGTCCGCGGTGGCGCCGCCGGCGCGCTCCTCCGCCGCCACCATGCGGTAGTGCGCCGAGACGGAGAAGTTGTTGTCCTCCACGAGCGCGCCCGCGATGTGCGCGAGCTGCTCCTCCAGCTTCACCTTGGCCTCCTCGAGCGACGGCCGGAAGGACTCCGCCATCTTGTAGTTCGAGCCGTCCGGGCCGAGGATGTCGAAGCCGTGCGAGCCGGCGTAGTAGAGCCCGTCTAGCTGCATCAGGCCCTGCGCGGTCGCCCGCGCGCGGCCCGAGACGATCGCGGTCGGGAAACGGTACGAGAGCGCGCGCACCACCGACCGCGCCTCCTCGGACAGCTTCGCCTAAAAAAGAAAAGCGGCCCCGCCGATGTTTCTTGTTTCTGGGCGGCGGGAAGGGCTCCTCGTGCAGCTTCGCCTCGGACGGGTTCTCGACGATGGGGGTGAGGGTGCCGTCGTAGTCGAGGAAGAAGGCGAGCTGGAACCTGAGGCGTGGCGCAGTCCACAACTGCTGAGCACACTCGCCATAGCCGAGGGGAGAGAGGGGCGAGAACTGGAACCCGGAGATTTGCTCCTCGATCTCGTCCATGCACTCGAGCGCGCTGCGAAGGCTCTGCTCGTCCGCCGCCGCCGCCGCGCGCTCCCCCACCGCGTCGCCGTCGATGGACGCGGCGGCCGCCTCGTCCAGCTGCAGCTGCACGGCCGCCTGCTCATTCACCAAACCCATTAGCTGCTAGTGAAACGGATGGCCTCGTCCAGCTGCAGCTGCACGGCCGCCTGCTCGCGCTCCTTCTCCTGCCCGATGCGGGTGGCCGCGCCCAGCTGCGCGAGCAGCGCCGCCGCCTGATGACTCATTACTCGCGGATGACTCACTAATGGCTGATGACCAGCTGCGCGAGCAGCGCCGCCGCCTCCCGCTCGTCGTCGACGTAGTGGCGGGCTTGGCTTGGCTGCCTCCCCACCCGGCAAGTCCACACGTGCTTGGCGTCCGCGGGGAGGTGCTCCATGTACTCCTCGCGGTCCTCCCCCTCCTTGGGCAGCAGGCCGCCTGTTCACAGCTGGAGGTGTGAAGAGACGCTGCTCGCAAGCCCCCCCCCCTCCTCGGGAAGCAACTCGCCGAACAGGTCCTCGTCTCGCATCGAGTGCGCGCCGAGGCAGAGCACGAAGTCCAGGGGGAGGCGCTCGGCGGCGCCCGCGGCGGCGGCGAGCGCCTCCTGCGTCAGCGGCGCCTCGGCGGCGGCGGCGGCCGTGGCGAGGTCCTCCGACAGCTCGTGCAGCGAAGAGGTGTTTGACTCGCGCTCCAGCCGCGCCGTGGTGTCATCCGTCCGCTCCCTAGGTTTTGGGTACCATGGGGGTAGGGGATGGGTCCGGGTACCGTGGGGGTAGGGGAGGGGAGCTGCTCCTCCGCGTCGACGGGACGGACGCGAGGTCGCGCGGGCCGAGCGTGCACGCCTGAGGCAACGGAGAGGCAACGGAGAGTCAACAGAGAGGGGCTGCGTCTGCAGCACTGCGTGGGCGGCTCATCTTGGGACACTCATTGGGCGATTCATTGGGCGACGACTCGCGGGCCGAGCGTGCGCACGCCTCCAGCACCGCCTCGAGCGCCGCGCCCTTCGAGACGCCGTACGGGCGCAGCTGCACCATCTTCGAGTCGAGGAAGACCTCGACGGGCTGGTTGCCGAGCACCTTGCCGAGACACAGCCGAGAGTAATCCCGAGATGTGGCCGAGGCAACAGCTGGCTGCCGAGCACCTCTTTGAGGTGGAGCTGCAAGTCGGAGGCCTGGATCTCGCCAAAGTCCTCATCCGAGTCGCGGTAGTGCCAGGTCAGCGTGTGCTCTTGCGACTCGGTGATGGAGCCGGGCGTGCGCTCCTAGGGTTAGGGTTAGGGTTAGGGTTAGGGTTAGGGTTAGGGTTAGAGTTAGGGTTAGAACTCGGTGATGGAGCCGGGCGTGCGCTCCTCAAAGTACTTGAGCACCGGCTTGATAGACGCCTGCTCATTCACCGACTCTGTCACGGACGAATGGCCGAGTCAAGTGACCGAGTTGGCACCGGCGTGATGCACGCCTTCCAGTCGTTGTTTGGCTCGACCGGCTCAAGCGGGCAGGCCCACTCCGTCGACGGCCCGCCCAGCCGCACAAAGACGCCGTTCTCGGCCACCACCCACACCGGCAGGTCTCCGAGCCACTGTGAGACGAGCCCGCGCTCCCGGCCGGTGATGACGACCACGCAGTTGCCCGGATCGGAGGCGAGGGTGAGGAGGTCGCCCCAGAGCTTGTCGCTGAGCGGGTGCATCTCCTTGAAGTCCGAGTAGTTGATGAGCGTGCCTAGTGAGCCACCAGCCCGTCCGCAACCCCTCTCGCTGGCATCTCCTTGGGGGGGGGGGGGGGGTCCGAGAGGTTGAGGCGCGCGCCGAGGAGGCCGAGCAGGATGAGGCGGCGGCTCGACTTTGCAAACGAGTCGAGCAGCTCGCTCCTGTTAATTAATTAGTTGATGATTAATAACTAATAATTGACTTTGCAAACGAGTCGAGCAGCTCGCTCCTGTTAATTAATTAATTGATGATTAATAACTAATAATGACTTTGCAAACGAGTCGAGCAGCTCGCTCCGCGGCAGCGGCTCGGGCAGCTCGAGCGAGAGCAGCTCGTGGTCGGCGTCCTCCTGCGTCATCAGCTCGGTCGAGAAGTCGTCGGACCTAATTATTAATTATTAGTAATTAGTAACTACTTAATTAATAATTAGGTCGAGAAGTCGTCGGACCAGTACTGCAGCGTGAAGCGCTGCACGTACTCGTTCATGTTGTGGTGCCTCTCCTCGCGGTCCGCCTCCGGCATATGAAGCGCCTGTTCACAGCTGCGGCTGTGAAGAGACGCCATTCACACTCGCGGTCCTCTGCCGGCATGAGCAACGCCTCGTACAATGCGAGCGCCATCGCGTCGGTGTTGAAGGGGTTGACGAGGATGGCGCCTAGGATTGTTACCCCGTGCTCGTGTCCTCCATTCCTTGAGAGTGGACCGTGGTTGGGTTGTGACGAGGATGGCGCCCGAGCCGAGCGTCTGCGCGGATCCGGCAAACTCGGAGAGGATGAGCACTCCGCGGTTGCGCTGCTGGCAAGCCACGTACTCGAAGGCGTTCGCGTTCATCCCCTCGCGCAGCGACGTGATCATCATCACGTCCGCCTATGGACAGCTGCGGCGTGAAGACGAGTCTGGTGCGTGGCAGTGGCGCTCGACACGTCCCAGCCAGGAAGCAGAGCGCGGCGACGTCGCAAGGCGAGATGGGCTGGTCGAGGTAGTGGATCGGCGCGTGGGCAAGCGTCGAGAAGCGGCCGTTGATCTGGCCGACCAGCTTGTGCACCTTGTTCCGCAGCTTGACGTAGCGCGCCGTGTCGCCCCGCATAATCGGCGTCGCGATCTGCACCAGCTGGATCTTGCCTGCCCATGACGGGTGGGCGGAGAGGAACTTGTCGATGGCGAGTAGCTTGTGCGGGATGCCCTTGATGTAGTCCATGCGGTCGATGCCCAGCACGATCTTCTTCCCGTCGAAGCGGCGCTGCAGCTCGATGACCTGAAGTGCGGCGAGGCAAGGTACACTTGTCCACACACGGGGGTGGTGGGGCGGGGAAGTGTGGGGAGATATGGGGAGATATGGGGAGATATGGGGAGATATGGGGAGACGTCTGACCTTGTCCTTGAGCTCGCGCGTCGCGAGCAGCGACTGGAAGTGCGCGCAGTCGATTCCCACAGGGAAGGCGTCCACCGTGACCGCCGTCCGCTGCTGCGCGTCCAAAATGTACGTGCTCTCGACGTTGACGTCCGTCCCTAGTCCCATACCTCCAGAGTACCGAACCCAGCTTGGGTTCAGGTCCGTGGGTGGTGCGGTGGGCGGCGACCGAGGACCGACGCGCACGCAGTCATGAAGTGGCGGACGTAGTCGTAGATCTGGAAGCCGATGAGGTTCGCGCCGAGCACGCCGCGCAAGATCGTCTTCCGGTGCGGCAGCGTGTGGTAGATCTCGGCCGACGGGAAGGGCGTGTGCAGAAACCAGCCGATCCGCATCTTTGGCCGCGCCTGCCATGGTGTCGTTCTGGTCATTACCGTTGCTGCTGCTACTGCTGCTGCTGCTTCTGCCGCCGCCGCCGCCGCCGCTGCTGCTACTACAAACGACTCCAGCTGCTGCTGTTCTGATCGCTGTCACTAGCCGATCCGCATCTCGGGCCGCGCCTCGCGCAGCATCTGCGGCAGCAGCATCAGGTAGTAGTCGTGGACCCAGACCTAGCCGTCAGTCAACGGGGAGCTCATCACCAACTCCTCAGCAGCACCAGGTCGGAGTCGTGGACCCGCACCAAATCGGTGTGGAGGGGCGCCAGCTCGAGCACGGTGTCGCGGAAGCGCGTGTTGAGCGCGGTGTAGCCCTCCCACCGCTTGTGCACCTACATGTGGTAACGGGAACGGGTTGATGAATACTCAGCTAGCGAGCGCGGTGGAGCCCTCCCGCCGCTTGTGCACCATGTCGATGTCGGCGTCGAGCATCGACAGCGGGATGTAGTGGAAGAGCGGCCAGAGCACCTCCGCTGCAATCTCCTCCGCAAAGTGAAGCTGCTCCTCCTCGATGAAGACCTAGAACACAGAAGTATGGCTGCGAACACAGACATGCAAAGCGAAGCTGCTCCTCCTCGATGAAGACCTAGAAACAGAAGTATGGCTGCGAACACAGACATGCAAAGCGCAGCTGCTCCTCCTCGATGAAGACCTAGAACAAAGAAGTATGGCTGCGAACACAGACATGCAAAGCGCAGCTGCTCCTCCTCGATGAAGACCTAGAACAAAGAAGTATGGCTGCGAACACAGACATGCAAAGCGCAGCTCCTCCTCCTCGAGGCAGACCGGGAAGCACGAGAACGGCTCGAGCAGCCGCCGCGCGACCGGCTGCTCCTCGGCCGAGAGCGTGACGTTGTACAGCACGCCCACCCACTGCACGTCGAGCCGCTTGATGGTCGCGTACCCCGCGACGTACCGCGCGGGCGAAGGTAGCACGCGCAGCTCGCCGCTGGCGGTGCGCTCGACTTGGTACGGCAGCCATTGTGTGCAGACGACGAGGCGCTTGCGGGTCTCGGAGGGCGCCACCGCCTTGGCCGCCTCCTTCTTCTTGTGCTTCTCCTTGGCCAGCTGGCCCTCCAGCTGCTTGATCTGCGCAAGCAGCGCGCGCTCACGCTCTGACTTTGCGCCCCCGCCGCCCGCCTACTCAGCCAGGACTCAGAGTCACTGATGCAAACTACGGCGCTGGCGACGCCGCGCCCCCGCCGCCCGCCTTTTCGCCCCAGAGCACCGCCCCGCTCCCACTGCCCGCCAGGCTCCCTCGTGGCAGCGCGTCCGTCGAGGAGGAGGCCGGCACCATCCTCGGCCCATCCGCGCTGCCGGACCGCCACAGCGGCCCCTCGCGCCTCTCCTCGGCGGACCTACATGCGTCCATGAAGGGGAGGCTCTCTTGTCGTAGCGAGTAGTTCACTCGCCTCGCGCCTCTGCTCGGCGGACCCGCGCGACGAGCTCTGCGCGGCGGCTGCCGCGGGGGCGGCTGCCGCGGGGGCGGTGGAGTCGTGCACCGAAGGAGGGAGCCGCAGCTGGGCCAGGCGGCCTGTGGCGCGGTCTCCGCCCGGGCTGGCCTCGCCTTGAGGCGGTCGCAGCCGGACAGTGTTGGCGTCCGAGGGAGACGGGTTGGAGCAAGAGCCGGCGTCCCCCTCGGAGAGAGTCGAGCTCGACCAGGTCGAGGGGACCGCCGAGTGAGGCCGCGAGCGGTGCCCTCCTCCTGCCGCCGCGAGAGGCTCGAGCCGGTCGGACGGAGTCGAGAGCGCCTGCGCCAGCTCGACGTCGCGCACGCAGGGCGACCCGCCGCCCTCCGCCCCCTCCACAAGCGACTGCAGCGAAGGGCGCGACGCCGCGCCCGACGAACGCCCCGAGGCGAGGTCGGGCTCCGACGCGAGCCTCGCGTCGAGCGCGCTGCCGCGGCCACTCGCCGAGCAGGCGCCGCCGTGGCCGTGTGCGCCGTCGTAGCGCGGGCTGCTCGAGACGGCGAGCGCGCCGGCGATGCAGTCGCTCGTGCTGCGGTGGTGGCCCGGAGGAGTCGGCCGGCGCGCCTCGGCATCCAAACCCTGCAGCGCGCCGCCAGCCTCGTAGATGGTGTCGCCGGCGTCAGGATTGGCGGCCGGCGGCGGAGTCGTCGCACGGGAACCTCCGGGCGACGGGGCGCCCAGCCTGGGGCGTGCGGGCATTTGGCTGCGAGAGGGCTGTGGCCCGCTACGGCGCGACCCGGTGGTTTTTCTTTAAATTCTTTGAATGAGGTGACGGCGAACCATTTAGACGCAGTTTAGACCACCGCTGAACATGAACCAGATTAGTCCTGTTTACGATAAACTGGGTCTAAACAGGGGTCGGCCTGGGTGGGGGACCCTATTACACATACCAGGTTTAGACCCGGTTTAGGTAGGGCGCCCCCTGGGCTAGCTAGCTCCGCCGCCGCGGCCGCGCTGGCTGCGGAAGCGGCAGCGTACAGCCGCCATCCTCTGCCTCGGGCCGGACAGCACACCGGGCACACTTGCACCGCGCAACAACAGCCTCGCCGGTCAGGCGCACGGTGTCGTTCGTCGGGCAGCGTGATGATCTCGTCCATGCCGTCGTCGAAGTGCATCAGCAGCCGGTCGCAAAGGTGCGCTCGCTAGTAGAAGTGGTGTTGGGTCGAGCAGTGGTACTCACTGCCCCTCACCAAATAAATGCTTCCAGGCGCTGTTCCTGGCCTCACTCCCGACGTACCGCGCGAAAGATGAGGGGACGCGCGGCGGCTTCTGCAAGCAGATCTTCGACACGGCGAAGCTGTCGGAAGGGGTGAAATTCTCAAAAAGGTGCAGCACTTCTAGCCGACATCGACAAAAGTCCCTCTCTAGCCCCGCGGCGAGCGGCCCCGCCGGAGGCGAAGAAAATTTCGCCATCTAGCGCTCGCAACACATAGATTTGTGCATAAATCAACACCTGAACTACGAGACAGACCCCAGCCTCATCAAACGCCACCGGTACGTAGCCGTTTGTCTTTGTCGTTTGTGTGTCGGCGCCGAATGGGCGTGTGATGCTGATGGGGGTCGCGTGTCACGTCTTTACGTGTGAGGTATGTGTCAGTACCTCCTCTTGGAAAAGTTATTTAGTACGACCCCGGTTTCGGATATCGGCGAACGATCGGAAGGGTGCCGCCTGCACACAAATGGAGTCCAGCGATGTGGGACCTCAGTCCCAGAAGCTTGGAGCTTCAGGCCGCGACCACGTGGCTAGGTGGACACTAAAGTGCCATTTTGGCGCCAAATCTTGGCGCGAAATGACACGTGGTTTGGCGGGAGTGTGGTGTGGCTGCGCTGCTCGACAGCGCTGCTGTTGAGCGCCAGCTGCTGCTCCCTTCAGCCAGACGGCCGGGCCTGCGCAGCACGACCGCTGACCTTCCTCCTGCACCACAGGAGCGCGCCAAGGCGCGCGTCTGGGCAAGCAGTCCGTCTCATCGCGATGCGAGAGTCGACGCTGTGACGCCGCCGCTCGCCGGCTAGAATGACAGTGGCAGCATTCGAGTACGCGTCGAGCTGTGCGTACCAGCACTTGTATGCGAGCTCATTGTGTCCCTGAGCTGCTGTGGGGTGCGTGGGCTCAGCTGCGGAGCACGTACTGGGCGGCGGTAGGGGGGTGATCCTAAATAACTTTTCCAAGAGGAGGTATGTGTGTCGCATGGCGCATAAGATGTTCAGTGGCCACTTTCGGGGTAAACGGTACGTGAACGTCGCCGAATCTATCCGGCGCTCCTTCCGCCCTCCCCGCGCGCCTCGATGGCTCGCCACGCCTCCTCGACGAGCGCGAAACACTCTCCGGCGCGCGGGTGGCCGCACCGATCCGGGTGGAGCCGCCGCACCAGCTGCAGGTACCGCTTCCGGCTCGCCTCGCGGCCCGTCAACTGCTGCAAACCAAGGCAGCCCCAAGGGTCCTGCACAGCGCGGGGGGCTCCAGCGAGCACCGCCGCCACGAGAGCGTCCAACGGGCAGTCGACGTCGACGATGCCGCCGCTCGACCCTGCGTCGCCGCTGCTGGACCCACCGCAGCCGCCGCCGCCGCCGCAACCGCTCCCGCCGCCGCTCCCTCCCCCTCCGCCGCTCCCACCGCCCCCGCCCGCCTGGGGCTGGCGCTGGCGGCTGGCCGCCTAGGTAAGGTGAGGTAGGGCAAACTTCTCCACACACAAGGGTGGTGGGGCAAGGGGGGGCGACCCTCGCGACTCCACGTCTAGAAGACGGGAGCCTCGTGGCACTAGAAGTGCAAGGCCCAGTGCGCGTGGGTGAGCGATGCGTGCGTGTGCGTGTGCGTGTGCGTGTGCGTGCGCGTGCGCGTGCGCGCGCGTGCGCGTGCGTGTGCGCGTGCGTGTGCGTGTGTCTCCACCTCCTCGAAGAGTCGCCTCTGGTCCTACGTGGCGAACACGCAACCTCGAGGCGGGAGGACGGTCTCGTGCAGTGCATTCGTAGCACCGCGTGAATACGAGGGGCTACGAATACAGCGAAAGCAGCGGAAGACGGCCGAATACGGCTGAGTACGTGTCCTCTCGAGCGCTGGTTGGGATACGAGAAGATGTACTCCGCTTCTGGGCCTCCCTTCCTCGATTGCGGCCCGCCTCCGCTGCTCCTGCAGCAGCGGCTTCTGCTCCTGCAGCCGTCGCTTTTGCTCCCGCAGCTGCCGCAGCTGCCGCAGCTGCTCGGCCTTGGCGACGCGCACCGCCTTGGCTGCCTACGGGGCATGGCCAGGACGTGTCGTGGACGTGTCCTGGACAGGGCACCCGGCTCGCGCTGCGCTGCAAGCCGCCTCCACAGCCTGCGCCTCCGCTGCCCTCGCCGCCGCTGCTGCCGCCAACTCGGCCTGGCCCGGCGCCTCGCCGACCGCCCGCGCGTACGCCACCGCCGCCTCCACTGCCGTGTCGAAGGTGCCGTAGCAGACCTGTCTACCGTCCACCCTGTGCCCCGCCTTGAAGCGGCCGGAGGGGCGCTGCTGCACGCCCTTGTACCCGGTGGGACTGCTGCTGGAGAGGTGCAATCTCAAGCCTTCCGCTTCTGCAGCCACCGCCGGAGAAGGATGAGCCGGAGGCTGGTATTCCCCGACCGCCCGCGCATACGCCACCGCCGCCTCCACCGCCGTGCCGAAGTAGCCGCAGCAGACCTGTCTACCGTCCACCCAGCGCCTCGCCTGGAAGCGCGAGCCATTGTTGCACACGTTCTTGTACCCGGTGGCACTGCTGCTGGAGAGGTGCAGCCGCAAGCCCTCTGCTTCTGCAACCACCTCCGCTTCTGCAGCCACAGCCGCTGGCTCGGCTGCCAGCGCTGGCGTGTATTCCCCGACCGCCCGCGCATACGCCACCGCCGCCTCCATCGCCGTGCCGAAGGAGCCGAAGCGGACCTGTCTACCATCCACCGTGTGCCTCGCCTGGAAGCGCGAGCCATACACACCGCGCTCTATGGACACGCCCTTGTACCCGGTGGCACTGCTGCTCGAGAGGTGCAGCCGCAAGCCCTCCGCCTCGGCGACTAGCGGCTCCTGCGCAGCCTGCTGTCCTGCCGCCGCCTCCGCCGCCTCCGCCGCCTCCGCCGCCTCCGCCGCCGCCGCCGCCTCCGCCTCCTCCGCCTCCTCCGCCTCCGCCGCCTCCGCCGCCGCCGCCGCCTCCGCCTCCTCCGCCTCCTCCGCCTCCGCCGCCTCCGCCGCCGCCGCCGCCTCCGCCACCGCCGCCGCCTCCGCTGCCCTCGCCGCCCCCACCACCGCTGGGGGAGGAGGAGCCGGAGCCTCGTACTCGCCGCCTCCGCTGCTCTCGCCGCTCCCGACGCTCGCGCCATTCCCGCTCCCGCCGCTGCAGCTCCCGCTCACGCCGCCGCCTCCGCCGCCTCCGCCGCTGCCGGCCTTGGTGCGGCGCCGCGGGGACGCGGCGGCGGGTGGCGGCTCGGCCCGCTCAGCCCGCGCCGCCGCCACCGCCGCTTGCGCCGGCGCCGGCGGGTGCAAGCGCAAGCCCTCCGCCTCACCGGGCCCGTGCACCGGGACCACGGCGCCCACGAGCGGCTCGGCTGCGCTTGCCGAATGGCTGCCGGCCGCGCCTGCGCGCCAGGTCAGACGTTAGCGGGCGATTGGCTCATCTACGGGCGAGCAGGGCTGAAACATTCACCTGCCGACGCGGCCGGGCCCAGCTTCTGCCGCTTGGCTCTGCGGCCGCTTGCCGCATCTGCACTCTCGGGCGCCGGCGCCGGACCCTCCCGCAGATCGGACAGTTTCCGGTACACCGACTTGCGCGGGGGTCCCGGAACCTTGCCGGCGATCACCGGCTCGATGTGCTCCCGCCAGAAGCGCCACCACTCGCCGCTCCACCGCTTCTCCGGGAAGTCCGCCATGCACTCGTCTTTCCGCTTGCCGTCCTTGTCGGTCCGCAGGTAGACGCCGGGCACGGCCCAGCCGGCGCAGTACTCGGGGATGAGCACATCGGGCTGCGCCGCGGCGAGCCACGCGTTGATGGCTTGGACCCTGGCGTGGAAGCCGCCCTTCGCCTTCTTCGCGTCCGACAGCGTCATGGGGCGCTCGACTTGACCGATCACTGCGCCGCTCTCGTCCTTCACATCTACGAGCACGGTCACCGGGCCCTTGAAGACCTCGCCACTCTCGCAGCGGCGCGGGTTCGGCGCCCGCTCGAGCAGCGCGTCCACCGCGACGCCGACCGCCTGGTTGTAATCCGCGGCTGGCGGTGCTGCTGCTGCTGCTGCTGCTGCTGCGCTGCTGCGCGCGGGCGGCGCCATAATGTTTCTGCTAGGGGTGGGGTGGGGCGTGCATAGAAGTGCGCCCCCCTCCCTGGAAGCGATGTCCCCGCCTGCTCCAAGCTCAAAATCTAGTGTTTCATGACCTCGACACACGCCTGCGTGGATCGCGTCACACCAATCCTCGCTACCCAACGCGGCCAAAGGATATCCACCTCGAGAACCTCGAGAAGTCACACACACACACACACACACACACACACACACAAAACAAAACACGTGAACAGGGCTCCAGGCCCCAAATGACGTGTGAGTGTTAGAGTTGTTTGGTATTGCTAAAAATCACACACACACACACACACACACACACACACACACACACACACACACACACACACACACACACACACACACACACACACACACACACACACACACACACATTGAGCGCGTCATCTTCAATCATTCAAGCAACCCCCGACTTTGCCCTATCCAAATGCGAGGTCATAACCGGCAGGTATGATGAGCCCCATTTTCCCCCTCGGCAGCTGCTGCATTCTCCGGAGAACATACTGTTGCAGCTGCAACTCTACACCTCTCGAGGGGCCTAATGCAACCTCATCAGAAGAAGGCGGTCAAGGGTGTCAACATCTGCGAGGGCTGTACCATGCTGCCCTGCGGCAAGGTCAAGGAGACAAGGGTACTTGCCTCCTCACCATGCATGCATGCGACAAGGGCTGCAGCCAGGTCGCCAAGCGTTGCCTTCTCGCCAAACATGAAAGACTGTTCCACACCGCTGAGACTGCGCGTCACCCCTTTGATCGCGTCCTTGCCCTCATCAAGCGCCCACGCCAAGGAGGAGATGCAAAACACAGGCGCTCGTGCCCCACTCCCGGCGAGGCAGTTGTTGACGACGTATTGCGGCTGCAGCACCGGGTCGTTCCGCACCTCCTGCGCAGCAAGCTGCAACACCCTGTCGGTTTCCTCTGGGCATTGGCGCAGGGCCTCCAGCACCACATCAAGGTCTCCACGTAGCCGGTCCGTCGCGAACTGCAAGGACAAGCCGTTCTGGCGCACGGCCTCGAGCACAACCGCGCGGTCTCCTCGCCGCCTGGCATCCCGCAAAGCCAAGCCGTTCTGGCGCACGGCCTCAAGGACCACTTCGAAGTCTGTCTCTCGCAGCTCCTCCGTGGCGAACTTCAAGGCACAACCGTTCTGGCGCACGGCCTCGATCACCACCTCGCGGTCTCCTCGCAGCTCCGCCGAGGCGTCCTGCAAGGCGCTGCCTTGCTGGCGCACGGCCGCGAGCACCACCGTGCGGTCCCCTCGCACCTCCGTCGCGGCGCACTGCAAGGACAAGCCGCTCTGGCGCACGGCCTCGAGCACCACCTCGCGGTCTCCTCGCAGCTCCGCCGACGCGACCTGCAAGACGAAGCCGTTCCGGCGCACGGCCTCGAGCACCAACGCGCGGTCTGCTCGCAGCTCCGTCGCGGCGGACCGCAAGGCCTCACCGTTCTGGCGCACGGCCTCGAGCACCACCGCGCGGTCTGCTCGCAGCTCCACCGATGCGGAACCCAAGGCCACGCCTTGCTGGCGCACGGCCTCGAGCACCACCGTGCGGTCTCCTCGCAGCTCCGCCGAGGCGTCGATCAAGGCGCGGCCGTTCCGGCGCACGGCCTCGAGCACCGCCGCGCGGTCGCCTCGCAGCTCCGCCGCGAGCGACCCTACGCGGTACGGCTCGCCCATTGAATCGGTTGACAGGATAGATAGATAGAACGTCCGTCCCGCCGCCCGCCGCCGGCCAGACTCCACATCACCCTTGGGTTGTGTGGTTTCTTTCTTTCTTTTTCCACATCACCTCAATGTAACAAACATTGATGCGGCGGCGGAAGAGATTGCGACCGAGCTCAGGCTCGCCGCGGCGTCGGAGGACGCCGCCGTCGCCTAGACTCCCCTGCGTCACTACGTGCCTCCCCGTCTTTGTAGCCTGGCGTTTGTGCCCCGTTTGTGCCGCGTCCCGTGCCCCCGAGTTCATTTTATACAAAACATTGATGGGAAGGCGAAACACAGTCCGACCAACGACTGGGACACCAACGCGGTATGGGTGGACGCTAGACGGGCGATGACGGTCACACAGGAGCGACACACAGAACCACAAGACAAGACACACACGCACGCACACATCACACGGAACGCGAGGCGTGAACCGCGCCATTCGCTCTCACCTGGCAACCCTGTCTGCACGTCTCGCGCGCGCGTGAACAGGGCTCAAGGCCCCAAATTACGTGTGAGTGTTAGAGTTGTTTGGTATTGCTAAAAATCTCTCTCTCTCACACGGAGAAGGGGCAACTCCGTGCACTGACCTGCTTGGAGCACTTGGAGTGCAGTCAGTAGTAGGTAGGTAGAAAGGTGAAGAACAGCCAGGCTCGGACTGGACACCAACGCGGTATGGGTGGACGCTGGACAGATGATGACGACACGCACGAGCGACACACAGACACAAACAGGCTCACAAGACACACAGCCAGCTGGCTGCCACACACCCTGAGTTGGCGTACACATAACTCAGGGCCACATCCTCCCTGTCGCCCCCCCCAGCACTCCACGGTGCCAAGGGCACAAACAAGGGCACAACTCAAACAACAGACGACAGCAAGTGACATGTGAGGCTAGAGCAGCTTGCTCCACCTCTAGCAATCTCACCGGCCTGCGAGGCACGGACGAGACCGTATGTGGGGTCTAGTGAGGTGTCTATGGACGCTCTCCTCATGGGCTAGCTGCCTGCGGCTAGCCCTTCTCGCACTCACAGGCGATGACAATCCAATGTATGAGTGTATGCAAGCTGAGGCGCGTGTGCTAAATCTAGGCCGCACGTCGTGGCACTATGACGGAGGTAGACGTTCGGCCGCAGCGCGCCCACCACAGTTTCGGTGGGGCGCGCGTGTTAGCAAGAGAGTTGCGGGGAGAGCTATGCCCGACTTTTCGGAGGCGAGCCCCACGCCACGGATGCCACCCGTGCTTTCGCGGGAGTCGTCTCCCAAGCCGCGTCCCGCCAGCACTGTCCCCGAGTGGTCCCGCCTCGGCGGCACACACTCTCGACCAGGACAGTCCCGCCAACGGAAACGTGTCGCGCGCCGGCGACGATTGCGGCGTGGTCGTTGTGAAGCGGAGGTGGCACGACCACCGCCCTGCTTCGCAGACCGGGCAAGGAGGGGCCTGCTCCCGTTGCGCGAGGAACGGGAGGTCTCCCGCCCTCCCCCGGCCTGAGCAGCGACGCGTGGAAGGCAGCCCCTTGAGTCGAGGGCGGCGCGGCCATTGCCGAGCTCCAGCAGCCAAAGGCCTGGGCGTCTGCTGATGGTCGCGCCGCCCCGCTCCGCGTCGCCCGCCGCCGCGCCGCCCCGCCGCGCCGCCCGCCGCCGCGCCGCGCCGCCGCTCGATGATTAATAATTAATAATTATTATCCTGATCACTAACTAATAAATAAGTAATTACACCACCCAGCTGGACCCTCACTACCCTCGACTGAATACTTCCCCCCAACGGAATTCTGGGATACATACTATTAATAATTAATCATTAACACACAAGTAATTTACACCAGCCACTCCCACTACAAGTCAGTAACCTCACATCCAGGGCCGCGCGCGTGGGATTTCTTTGGAAAGCATTGTGTATGGAGGAAGCCGCCGCTGCTCTCGCCAGCGTGCTGCCGACGTCCGAGGCGCACCTGCACAGCCTCCTCTGTTCGCAGGACAAGTTCTTCGCCGCGGTGAGGTGCCGGCTGATTGGCTTGCTGCCAGCGGAGGTGGTCTCCGCAGAGATGGCCTCGCCAGAGCCATCCCACATCGCCGCTCGCGCGGCAGCCATCACCACGCTGGTCTCTCTGGTGCACGCGCATCGCATTCTGGCGCAGACGGATGGCGGCGCCACCGCTTCGCCGGCCACCTCGGAAGCCGCACTGCTGGTCGAGTTGCCGCTGGACGAGCGGTCGGCGCTGCTCAGCTGTGCCGCTGCGTTGGGCCTGTCCAGCCCAGGCAGCCACGAGACGGTGGGTGCAGTGCTCGCGCGTCTGCGGTCGGCCGCCGACACCCTCGCCGATGACGGCTGCTCTGCGGCGGACACTGCGACTGCCACGCACAGCGGCGCGCTCCTCTCTCTCGGGGCCGGCGGCGCAGAGGCTGTGGCTGTGAACGGCGCCTCTTCACAGGTCGAGCTGTGAACAGGTGGCGCACTCCTCTGTCGGGGCGCGTACGGCGAGGAGGCAGTGGCGGCGCTCGGCGCCTTGAACGACGGTCCGCGACAAGAAACAATGAGACATCGGGGAAGGGGCACGCACACGCGGCTCACTCAGAGGGCGAGGGACTTTAGCACAGCTACTCGCCGCGAGGCTAGCACGCACGCGCAAATGCGAGAGGGCAAATGGACTACGACTGACACACCTCCCGGATCGGCAAGGTCTGCGGTCCGAGTACGCGACGCGCCGGCAGATGCTGCTCGAGCGGCTCCACGTGCAGGCACGAGATCTGGGGAGATCTGGGGAGATCCGGGGAGATATGGGGAGATATGATCTGACGTCCCCCGCCTCGTGACCGGGCGAACCCTGACCCCAACCCTGACCCTGACCCCAACCCTAACCCTGTCTGGGTGTGGAGTTGCGAGGGCTGCCCCGGCCCTTGCCCCACCACCGCTCCGTGTGTGTGTGTGGAGAAGTGTACCCGGGGTTGTGCGTTTACGTGGAGAAGTGTACCGTACCTTCCCTTAGGTCAACTCCAGCTTGCAGTCCGACGAGTCACCGACTGACGACGCCGGCGACGCCCGCCGACTCTGCGACGAGACGCGTGAGCGGCGCCTCTTCACAGCTGCAGCTGTGAACAGGTGGCCGCACACTCTGCGACGAGCTGCTGCCCGCCGCCACAGCGGTCACTGTGCAGGAGCCTAGAGGGGAAAGACGCGGTCTCGTACTCCGACTAGCGCAAGAGAGGGCACGCATGTGTCTGCACTCCTCTCCGCGGCATTCCCTCTCCTCGCACGCCTCGTACGGCACGGCCCGGCTGACCACTCCGACATTGGCCCCACGTCTGCACTTGCGCCACGCGCCACGCGCCACCATACTGGGACGTCTGCACACTCCGCCCTGGAAAAAGAAACCACTCTGAAGGTGGGGGGCCCCATCACACTGGTGTGAAGACCGTCCGAACCAACACTCAGGAGCCGGCGCATGTGCATACAAGCACCCGCACAGCCCCGCGTCTCGCACGCACAGTTGAGGAGCGGACAGGCGGCGGCGACAGTCAGATGGCAGCACTGGGCCACACAGGAAAGCGAGTGCGAGCACGGCCTCTGGGGAGATGAGGGGAGATGAGGGGAGATGTGGTTGGTGGTTATGATCACGACCTCTGTGGTGTAAGCGCTCACCCACGCGCACCGGGCACAGCGCGTTTAGTGCCGTGTGGCTCCTGTCGTCTAGACGTGGAGACGCGAGGGACTAGCCTGGCCCTTGCCCCGCGTGTGCGCGGAGTGGAGAAATTCACCTGACCTTACCTTACCTTATCCACCGCAGGTAGAGGATGCCTTTGCAGCAGACGCGAGCCTTCTCGAGTCGAGGAGGCGACGCGCCGACCCCGCCGCGGCGGTGGCGGTCAAGCGGGTACTGATTGGCAGCGTGCCTGACCGGGGCGGCCGCGCAGCCGCCGCCGCTCCGCCGCCCGCCGTGTCGTGCTCCCCACGCGATCGCAACCGCAGCAGGGACACCGGACGAGGCAGGGGCGGCGGCAACAGCAAGCCGGGCGGCGGAGGCGGCGGAAGCGGCGGTGGCGGGGGCGGCGGTGGAGGCGGCGGTGGAGGCGGCGGAGGCGGCGGAGACGGGGGCGGGGGCGGCGGGGGCGGCGGGGGCGGCGGGGGCGCTGCGGACGGTGGCCGAGGTGCTGGCAGGGCCAGGGGCAAAGGCAGTGCCAGAGGCCACGGGCGGACGGGGAGCAGAGGAGGGCGCCGCGCTCAAGAACGCCGATGATGGCCGGTTCCGCTCCAGGGCGTGTGTTACACACAGCGTTCGTTTACACACGTTTAAACGTACTAAACCGCATGCGCACACGCCGGGCTTATACTACCGTACACTTACAACGGCGCAACTCCCACAGAGCACACCACAGGAGTCACATAAGTTACCAGCGCTTGTCTCGGTGGATGCACATTGAAATCACCGCACACAGGTCGGCAGCTGCTGGCACCGCCGAAAAGAAGGCGAAGATATACCAGGCCCACTGGTAGTGCGCCTTGGTCAGGACGACGAGCGCGAGCAGGATGCCACCAATCGTATGGCACGTGAGGTGCAGCAGCGTGAGGAGAGCCGAAAAGAGTGAGAAGCCGCCGAAAAAGGCGACTGCCTCTATCGCAAAGCACGACAAGATGAGGGCGGAGGCTACACTGGCTTCGTGCACGCCATCGTCTATCTCCGCGTCGGTGTAGTCAAACTTGAGGGCGACAACGACGTTGTCTCTCTGTGACGGAGCACAGGCACGCCGATTAGGGGATCGCGATGTGTCAGACTGAGAGGGCCCGGCGTACCCTCGAGAAGGTGAAGACAAGCGCAGCGAAAAAGTGCCCGACCATGGCGACGAAACGGAGGACGACTAGCGAGCCTGAACGATGCAGCATTGCGTTCGCGCGCCGCCGCGACGGGCGTTGTGTGATATCGTTTCAACTCAACAAAACAAAACTCATGTGCACTGCACCGCCGACTCGTCGTCGAAAACCCGCATGTTCGCCCGTTTTGGACCTCTTCGTACCGGCTTCGAAAATCGCTGCTTAACGACGGCTACGCGGCCCGGCGGTCGATCTGCGCCTTCTCAGCGGTGGAGGGGATGTGGTCGGTACGCGCGAACCGCGTGGTGCTGCGATGGTTTGACGAGTGCGACTCCCAGCGTCGACTTTTCGACCCCACGGAGCCTCTGCTGCTCCGGGGGGGGGTCTGCAGACCACCCGGCCGAACTTCAGAGTGGCGGTGCTCCTCAAATACCGCTCAAACGCCCACGATGTTGTGGAGGGGACATATGCTGATGATCCTGGCCCGATTGGGTCGCTCAGAAAGCTTCTGGGCGGTCGTTAAGGTTCGCTCCCCGCACACCGGCCCCGGAATAAGTTACATCATATCGCCGCCCTCGCAGGAGTCGCTTAGGCGGCTCCCGTGGTGTACCTGTGCTAGTGCCACTGCGCGCCAGTCCCGTGCCCAGTGTCGTGCGAGGGAGTTGGCTTCTAAAATTCTTTGGAGTTTGTTGTAACATTCTTTCGATGCAGCGGGGAGCACGGTCGGAAGGGCGCTTTTGTCGCCTTCGGCAACACCGAGGCGTTCTACCGGAACATGGTCGTGGGGCATGGGCCCTACTGCGAGGAGGGAGAGGGAGGCGACGGGGAGGGAGGGGGGGGGGGGGTACGGGGGCGAGGGCCTGGAGGGGGAGAGGAAGAGCAAGGGCGAGAGGGGGCAGGGGACGGGTCGATGGCATACTAGGGGGGGCAGGGTGGTGGGCGGCGATCGCCGCATACCGTCCTATGGCGGCGAGTATCGCTACGCCAGGGCAAGAAAAAGGAATGTGGCCGTGGGCGATACGGGCCCCGCTAGGCTCAACGAGGAGATGCTGTGCAGTTAGAGAGCTCGTAGCGAGCTCGATTTTGGATGAGAATTTAGATGAGAAATCCCTCAATTTTGAGAAAAAACGCCAAAAAATCGGCGCCTGCGGCGGGCCAGCCTCCGGCGGCGCCTGCGGCGGGCCGCTGGGGCTTCCTCCCCAGACCCCGTTTACACCCGAGCTATGCCCCACGACCTGAGCCGGAGCCGGAGACGTTTACCGGAGACCTTTCCTTAGTGCTAGTGCCAGTGCCGCCAGTCCCGTGCCCAAAGAAAGAAAGAATTTTACCACAAAAGTCAAACAAAAGCGCAACAACTTCAACCTGCTGCTCCTACCACGAGACGTTCGGCGGCGGCTTCTCGCCCACCGCCGTCCTCAAGCTGCGCCGCCTCGCGCGCAAAGTCGCGCGCGGCAGCGTCGACCGCACGGCCTACTCTCGCCCAAGTACTCGCTCTCTTTTATGTCCCACCATGCAGAGCGCATCTCTCTCTCTGTTGTGCGAGGCGTGAACCGCGCCATTCGCTCTCACCTGGCAACCCTGTCTGCACGTCTCGCGCGCGCGTGAACAGGGCTCCAGGCCCCAAATGACGTGTGAGTGTTAGAGTTGTTTGGTATTGCGAAAAATCTCTCTCAAAAGTCAAAGAAAGAAAGAAAACAGAGAACCCAAGGGAGGGATGGGAGGACGGCACGCCGCCACCACACAGGGATTTTAAGGAGAGGGGTGTGGTGCGCTAGCAGCTAGGTAGGTAGGTAGTAAGGTGAAGAACAGCCAGGCCGGACTGCAGCTCCTTTCGTGCGAGAACCTTAAAAATTCTTCATTTCGATGGCTGCCGCCGCCGAACGATTGAGGCTCCATGCCACTACTGAGGCTTCGGCTGCTCTTCGCCAGCCTCGTCGCCACATGCATCTGCTGGACCATTTCGCAGATGCTCGTGCTGGAGCGGCATCTCTCTGCCACCGACAGCTCCGCAGCTCAAGCTCACCATGATCCGGCGGCGGCCGGCGTCGCAGCGGCACCCGCAGCCGAGGAGCTGAGGCGTACGCTCAAGGCGCTCTCCTCGCTGCAGCCGCACGTGCCGACGCAGGGAGCCGCTGCAGCTGCCGCGCATGCCTCTGCGGTGTCGGCTTCGGTGACGGCGGTGCTCGAGTGGAGGGACGCGGCGCAGCTCGAGCGGCAGCTGGCGGCCCTCTCCGCCCAGCGGCCAGCGGCGCCGGCGACCACCCTGGTGGATGCCTACCGCGCCGCCGACGGCGGGGCAGCGGCACGCGCAGTCGCGCGCTCGTTCGGCGGCGGCAGTAGCGTCTCCGTCTTTGGTGCAGTGACCGGCGGCGGCGGCGGCGGCGGGGAGCGTCCGGGCGGTGCGATGGGAGGTCGGCTCGGCCGGCTCGCGCTCGCGCTGCAGGAGCCGTCTGCCTTCGTGCTGCTGCTCGACTCGCACGTGACGCCCGGCCCGGCGGCGGTGGAGGCGCTGCTGGCAGCCTCGCTCGGCAGCGGCGGCGCCGTCGGCCGGACAGGGCTGTCCTTACTGCCGCTAATCAGCTGATGACTCCACGACTCATTCTCACAGGCGCCGTCGGCGTGGCGGGGGGGCGAGCGTCCTCGCCTGCCGCTAATCAGCGGACGGGTCGTTGATCCGGCTTGGTAGGTGTCGTCGGCCTGGCGGGGTGGTGCTTGTACGACACGGCACTTGCGGGGGAGCAGGCGGTGCTGAACCTCGGCAGTATCTCGGCTCAATCTCGGCTCAATCTGGTGAGTGTCTCGCTCAATCTCCGCTCAATCTCCGCTCAATCTCCGCTCACTCTGGAGCGAACCCCCCCACCCTCTCTCCTCCCCTCCCGCCTCGGCCAGACACGCCGCCGCCCCCCCAAGCCTAAACCCCTAGCCTGGCCCTAGGCCGACCCGCCGCGGGGGAATCACGGCCCAATCTCGGCCCAATCTCGGCCCAATCTCGGCCCAATCTCGGTGCGATCTCGGTCCGATCTCGGCCCGATCTCGGAGTGATCTCGGCTCGATCTCGGAGCAGGCGACGCCTCTCTCGGACGGCGGACAGGCGACCCTCCTCCTGCCAGACACGCCCTCACTCCTCAGCCCATTCACGAACCCGCTAATGAAGCACCCATAGCAGGCGACCCTCCTCCTGCCAGACACCTTCGAGGCGATGCGGCCTGTGACGGTGCACGGGGCGGAGGCCGCAGGCGAGGGGGCCGCCGCAGATGAGAGATGGCGCGAGATGGCGCGAGATGGCGCGAGATGAGAGATGGCGCGAGATGGCGCGAGATGAGAGATTGCGCGAGATGGCGCGAGATGAGAGACGACGCGAGATAGCGCGAGATGGCGCGAGATGGCGCGAGATGACGCGAGATGTCGCGAGGCTGCAGGCGAGGCTTCGTTGATCACCTCCTTGGCCGAGGTGGACGTGTTTCGCAGCAGCTGTATTCTTATTAGTACTCGCAATCTGGTATTAGTATTAATGTCTGATCAAGGTGGACGTGCTGCGCGGCAGCTGGCTCTTGCGCGTGGAGTGGATCCCGCTGCTGCTGCGCGGCGTCGCCGGCGAGGCGGCCGGCGGAGGAAAGGGCGAGGAGGAGGGCGGGGAGGAGGGCGAGGAGGGGGGCGGGGAGGCGGGCGAGGAGGCGCGCGTGTTGGCGCTACTTTGGCAGCGCGGCGGCATTCACCAGTCAGCCAATGAGCTTCTCCGCCAATCAGGCGCGCGTGTCGGCGCTGCTGCGGGAGCACGGCGACCTCCCGTCGCTCGTGCTCCCCGCCGGCACTGCCGACGGCTGGAGGGACGTGTCGGCCACTATGCCGCCGACGGCTGCGCGGGAGAGGGCGTGGAGGCGCGAGCTGTGGCTGGAGGAGCGGCGGGGAGCGGCGCCGCCCCAGTGGCGGAGGGCGAATTCGTCTTAATTAGGTCTTGTTGATTGGTGGTTCATTCAGAGTAGGCGCGCCCTCCGTGGCGGAGGGCCGCACCAGACGCTGCGGGCGGAGGCCGGCCGGAGGTTGGAATCTCGCGGCCGGAGGTTGGAATCTCGCGGCCGGAGGTTCGCCCGTCGCTGTTGCTGCTCCTTCCGGCCGACTCCGGCCCGGAGGGTTTGGCGGCCTAGAAGCGGAACACGTATCTTGTACTCCAGCCGGCGTCGAGAGGACACGCACTCCGCCGTACTCGACCGTATTCCGCTGTGTGCACGCTGCATGCCTAACCCCTCGTCTTCACGCGGTGCTCTGAAGACTCTGCGCCATACCGCAGTCCCGCCACGAGGTTGGCGTATTCAGCACGTAGGCTTGGCGGAGCTGGCGCGGCTGTACGCCCCGCTCTACCGGGCGGCCGCCGCGCCGTCGTCGCGGTACGTGCCCCGGCTCAATCTCGGCTCAATCTCGGCTCAATCTCGGCTAAAACTCGGCTTGGAGATCTCGGCCAGATCTCGGCTCCAGTCCTCCCGACGACTCGATTCATGCCACTCTTCTCAGGTATGTGCCCCGGCTGGCGCTGCTCCCGCGGCGCGGCGGCGGCTCCAGCTTGGTCGGGCGTGCGTGCGAGGTGTGGGCCGCGCCACTCGCAGGCGTCACTAGGCATTTCCGAGACATTTACGAGACATTTCCGAGGCACTTCCGAGACTTTCGAGGCACTTCCGAGGCACTTCCGAGGCACTTCCGAGACATTTCCGAGGCATTTCCGAAGCACTTCCGAGGCACTTGTGAGGCACTTTCGATTCACTTCCGAGACACTTCCGAGGCACTTCCGAGACACCTCCGAGACACTTCCGAGACACTTCCGAGACACTTCCGAGACACTTCCGAGACACTTCCGAGACACTTCCCAGACACTCGCAGGCCCTCGCGGCGCCGTGGAGCTCTGCCGCGACGCCGGCCGGCTGCTCGAGCTGCCCAGCGCAGACTTCGGCAGCGCGAGCGAAGACGGCGCCGGCCGGTGCGCCGCGCTAGTAGGAGTAGGAGTAGGAGGAAGCGCGCAGTAGGAGTAGGAGCAGCAGTCCGCGACACTTAGAAGAGAAGCAACCCCCATAGCCGGGGGGCAATCAGGTGCGCCGCGCTCCTCGTGGCGCTCGACGACGTGGTCGGCGCGACGCAGCCGGCGGCGCTAGTCGTACCGTCCGGCGACACGGCGCTCGCAGGAGCGGCTGACCGATGATCATGTGCACACCTCTTATCCAGTTCGAAATTCGTTTCTCATAGGCGCTAGCCGAAGCCGCGCGCGAGGTGGCGGCGGAGCACGGTGTCGCGCTGCTGCAGCCGCCGGCCGCCGAGCTGCCGCTTCTGGAGTGGGTTGCGACGCTTCCGCCCGAGGGCCTCCGTCGCTGGCACGAGCCCCGTGTCACCCTCTGCGTCATCACCGAGCGGAGGCCGGCCTCGCTCGAGAGGCTCCTCGCGTCTGTCTCTGCTGCCAGATATGGGGAGATGCCGGGGGAGATGGGGGGAGAGATTCCGCTTCTAGGCTCCTCGCGTCCGTCTCTGCCGCGCATTTCCTCGGGGACACCGTGGACCTGTCCATCAGCGCCGACGCCGACGCCGACGCCGGCACGCTCGCCCTCTCGCGCGGCTGGGCGTGGCCGCACGGCGCAACGCGGCTGGCGGTGCGCGCGGCGAAGGGAATCGCCTCGTATTTCTGGTTCTGCCACGGGCGGCCTTTTTCCTTTTCTAGGTGCGCGCGGCAGAGGGAACGGCGTCGTATTTCTTTTTGTACGTGCTTCGTTTTTCTAGGTGCCCGCGGCAAGGGAGGCGCCGTCACATTTCTTTTTCTGTCACTGCTGTTTTTATTTCTAGGTGCGCGCGGCAAAGGGAGGTCTCGTCGCGGCCGTCGCCGAGGCGTGGACGCCGGACGGGTACCACTCGCACGGCCTGCTGCTCGAGGACGACATCGAGGTGTCACCACTCCTGGAATGGACTAATGAGTTGTTACGCCAATGGACTGACTACTCAGGAAACTGATCAACCATCCAATGAGGTGTCGCCGTACTTCTACGTGTACGCCAAGCTCGCGCTGCTGCGCTACGCGGTGTCGGGGGAGGAGGGGGGCGGCGGGCCGGCGAGCGGGCACGCGGCGGGCGGACTCCTCGGCGTCTCGCTGTACACGCCGCGACTCGTCGAGCTGACGATGCCCCGCCGAAGGGTCGACATGCAGGCTGGCCCGCTATCATCATAGTCAATCTCATCGTCGTGGCTGCTCTGCTCGTCTCCTCATTGCATCGCCGCTCCTTTGTTACCCCCTCGCCCCCCACGCCCCACCCCACCCCACCCCGCGCCCCACCCCTGTGGGGAGGGGGGAAAGCCTACCACACCGCACACCACAGGCGGACTTGGGCACGCTGCCGGCCTCGGCGGGTGGCGGAGTGCCGCACCTGTACCTGCAGCAGCTTCCCTGCTCGTGGGGCTCCCTCTTCCTGCCTCGGCCGTGGCTGCTCTTCCGCGCGTACATGCAGGCGCGGCTCGATCAAGAGAAGCCCCGGGGGAGGCGCCGCTACAGTACTAGGACTTGGGGTGGCCATCACCCTTGCACAGATTGCTTCCCCCCCCCCCCCCCCAATCCCCTCCCTGGCCACTTCTCGGAACCTTCCCTTGCAGGCGCGGCTCGAGGGCGCCCCCGGCCCGCTCGTCCCTCGCTCCGCCTCGAACGGCTGGTCCACGTCGTGGAAGAAGTTCATGATCGAGCTGTCGCACCTCTCGGGCGGCGTCTTCCTCTACCCGTCCTTCCCGAACCAGTCCTCCCTCTCGACCAACCACCTCGAGAAGGGCGAGCACATCGGCGGAAAGAAGAACAAGCTGACGCACCGCCCCCTAGAAGCGGACTCTCTCCCCATCTCTCCCCTTCTCTCCCCATCTCTCTTGGCCTGGACGCGGAGCACGTACCCTTGCGCTCCAACCGGCACTCGAGAGGAGACGCACTCAGCCCTAGTCAGCCGTGCTCAGCCGTATTCAGTACCTGTAGCCCGCGTGCTTCATGCGGTGCTCCGAACACGGCATCGAGGCCGTGTACACACCCCGTAGGCACCGGCCGATCGATTTCACCGTCCCTCTGCTGCTCAACCTGTCCGACCTCCGCCAGCTCTGGCCGCCGCAGCCGCTCGACGCGCTGCCGGTCCGCGACCTCTTCACGCGCCCCACCCGACGCAGCGAGCTCCATGCGCGCGGCATCGAGGCCATCGCCGCGCACCGCGGCGTGTGGCGAAGCCACGCGCGCGAGGCGGCGGCGCCAGCACTCCGCCTCGACCGCATCCTCGAAAGGCTGCTCCCGGCGACGACTGCGCCGAGATGAGAGCATAAACAAATAAATAAAAACGGACACCTCACTGTGAGATGGGTAAAAAGGAAAACAGGTCCCCGCCCGTGCGATCTTTGTGCAGGGTTCTATACGAGCCGTGCGTCCTGCACCGCTTTCCTTCTTTCTTCCAACGGCTGGTTCGTGGTTGGGTAGTAGTCACTAGTCTATGCGTCTAAGTTCTGAGCGAGGCTGAGCGGGTCTAAGTGTGCCCTGGCACGCTGGGGTGCTTACGCGGTCTAAGATCGGCGGCAGCCTCTTATGCGGGCTAAGTGTCATGCCGTGGCACGGCCTGGGGGCCAAGAGGCTCCCCGACCGTGATCAACGATACGGCGCAGCCCCCAAATTTTCTTCGCCTGCGGCGGGCGCCTTCTAATCCGAGTTAGATCCTTCTCATGCTCAGCAATCGCCGCCTCAGCATCCTCCTCTTCCGATTCTCGTTGCTCTTCTTGAGCGCAATCTTCAAGCCAAACAGTTCTCACAAATAGCCTCAAGCTCAAACAAACGCATAGAAGCCTGTGTATGCTGGTCCTCTTTGAACGATCCGCGCGTGAGGTAGCATAGGGCCTTGTTGGCAGCAGCCAGCTTGTTGCGCTGCTTCGTTGCGATGAGCTGATTGGGATCGCAGAAGTGCATGCCAAGCACCGCCACGATCTTGTCGTGAAAACACAACAACTGTTGTTCAAGTTCGAGATCAGTGCCGCGCTGAGGCGTGTCCATAGGCATGTGCCAGGAGGAATCATATGATACAAAAAAAATAACAAAAAGACTGGGCTCGACGGGGGATCGAACCCCGGACCTCACGCACCCTAAGCGAGAATCATGCCACTAGACCATCGAGCCTATACTAATCAGCCAGACAACGTACGTCCCTCTGCCACCAGGCGATATATACTCACCTACGTCCACCGGCCCCGCTCGTTCACAGCGGCACTCCAAGCCTTCCGCATGAATCGAAACGGCATAAAAATTCTAGGGTACGATACTTCCGGGCCGGTGTGCGGGGAGCGAACCTTAACGACCGCCCAGAAGCTTTCTGAGCGAACCAATCGGGCCAGGATCATCAGCATATGTCCCCTCCACAACATCGTGGGCGTTTGAGCGGTATTTGAGGAGCACCGCGACTCTGAAGTTCGGCCGGGTGGTCTGCAGACCCCCCCCCCGGAGCAGCAGAGGCTCCGTGGGGTCGAAAAGTCGACGCTGGGAGTCGCACTCGTCAAACCGTCGCAACACCACGCGGTACGCACATACCGCCCACATCCCCTCCACCGCTGAGAAGGCGCAGATCGACCGCCGGGCCGCGTAGCCGTCGTTAAGGAGCGGTTTTTGGAGCCGTACGAAGAGGTCCCAGACGGGCGAAGATGCGGTTTTTCGACGACCACACGCGATGTGGTATCTGGTTTTTGCTAAAAACGGGCCGCCTAGTGCAGCATCACTAGTACAACACACAATCACACGAAGACAAGAACGTGGGTGCGGGTGAAGCGCCGATACCGCCGTGCACCCCACAGGAGCTGACCGCAGGGCTGCCGACAAGCGTCCTCTCGAGGATCACAAAGAAACTGGAGGCGGGCTGGGCTTTCGACCCTGCCGACTGGGCCACCCCCTCGAAGGCTGCGACCGTCATGGGCAACAGTGAGGCCGAGGTAGGCGGTGACCTATGACTTGGCCGTTAGTCAGAATTCGCGTCGGAGTCTCTTCTCGCGGCAATCCCGTCCTGTCCCTATGTGGAGTTAAGCGCCATTGGCGCGGCGTCAGGACGGGGGGGAGAGAAGAAGAGAGAGCCACGGGGTTCACAGTGGCTCAAAAAATAAGTAAAGGTGATTTCACGGTGGACCTAACTGTCATTTAGCGGGACCCCGCGCGCTCCGCGTCCCGCGCCCCCACTGCCGTCGGCGCGGCGCGGCATCGCCCACCCCGCCACGGCTCGTTTCCGACACCCCGCCGCCTGCCCCACGGCTGAACACAGCGTTCGTCGCGCAGACGCGCCGCGCAGAGAAGAAATATGAGCAAGCCGCCCCCGCGAACCACAGCCGCGCGACCCGCTGCGTGCGGACCCACGCCTTCGCCGCTGCCACCCTCGCCGCCGCCCAGCCCGCCGCCGCACACGCCCCTCAGCCCATCCTATGATGTAACAAGATACTTCCGGGCCGGTGTGCGGGGAGCGAACCTTAACGACCGCCCAGAAGCTTTCTGAGCAAACCAATCGGGCCAGGATCAACATCAGCATATGTCCCCTGCACAACATCGTGGGCGTTTGAGCGGTATTTGAGGAGCACCGCGACTCTGAAGTTCGGCCGGGTGGTCTGCAGACCTGTCATCCGTGTCGAGCATCAGCACGGGCCCGATGCCCGCGGGTAACAGGTGGTCAATCCCAAAGTGGTAAACCAAATTATCAAAGCTATCGCAGAGACGGTTCCGACCTTGCCTTGCGCGCCGAAAAGAGGAACCCAAAGCAAGAAAGAAAACAGACAGCCCAAGGGAGGGATGAGGAAGAGGAACCCGCCGCGCGGAAAAAAAATCTTTTTGTGTTGTGAGACAGGCTTGCATTATTTTTGTGGGTTTGCGGTCCGAGAATTCTTTTCGGCGGCATGGGACGCGGCGCGCTGCCCTAGGTTTAGGGCGGCGCTTTGGACGCTGTGCCGGAATGTTGTGACGGAGGGCCGGTGCTGTGGACTCGCAGTTTATGTGCCTGCAGAACGACACAGGCGGCTGCGTGGAGGGGTGGAAGGAGGCGGAGGGGTCCCGTACCACGCGGAACCGACCCTATCCAGTGCTCAAGTGCTCAGGTGAAGGCGGGAGAGATTCTGCTCTTCGACGAGGAGCGGGCGAAGGTGATGCGGTATGCTCCTGGCGGGGGGCGCGGTCGAGGGCGCGGGGGTGGGTCGCGCAGTGCCCGCTGGCGGGGCAAGCGGCGATAGAAGTGGCCGCGGCAGTTCCGGTGGGCCACCGCCGCCTTCCTCTCCAGCCCGAGTTGGGGCACGGTGCTTCTCCACAGCCCTTCCACCACGTCTCCGATGACGAGCATGTCATCCGTGTCGAGCATCAGCACGGGCCCCATGCCCGCGGGTAACAGGTGGTCAATCCCAAAGTGGTAAACCAAATTATCAAAGCTATCGCAGAGACGGTTCCGAATGCAGCTCGTCTGGGAAGCAGCCTGAAGGCAAGAGGAAAGTCCACTGGAGCCCAACGAGGAGCGAACAGCGTGCAGACGCAAAAAACAGTTTGACCGCAAGGACCCCACGAGCCCTCGCTCTACTCTCTCGCATCGACCGCAGAGGCCGAACCATCCTCATTCTGTCTCTGACTCAATCGATGCCGGTGATTTTGTAACTGGGTGCTCAGCGGCATGCCGTTGACTTCAATGGTGCCGGATTCGGTCTCGCTCGAATGCACCACCAACCCGAGACGAGCGTGGGTGTACACGAGCTTTGCCCAGCAGTCAAAGGTGACAGCGGGTATTCCTCGTTAGAATGCATCGATTTCTCGGTTGAAACGTCTCACTTGACAAGCAGACTGGACTAATGGACAGACACTAGAGGTGAACTAATGCACAGGCACTAGGTGAACACACAAAAGTACAATGCAATGGACAGCGAGGGTTCAGGATCGTCACATGGCGGACAAAGGAGGCGTCGAGTTTGAACTCGAAGACTTCATGAGGGGACATTGCTGCCAAGGACCGCAGCTCAGGCATTGCAAAAGATCCCGGAGTCGCGTGCGTCGGGCCAGCTCGTGCCGCAGGAGCAGAACCCCGTTCCTGTCGGGGTGTCAGTATAAGGGCAACAGCCGGTCGAGCCATTGCAGCCGGTCGAGCCGTCGCTGCACTTGATGTTGGTGCAGGTGCCCTTTTTCGGCTTGACGGGCTTCGGTGGAGGTGCTGGGCCAGTAATACCCATGGCCTTGAGATACTTAACGTACTGTTCCTCGCGCTCTTTGTTCGTGGACGTATCAGCTGGCCTCACGACCTGAAGCGCGCACGCAAATGTGTATGCCATGCAGTCCGGGTTGGAATTGCCATGGATCCACGGCGATTCGTTCAGCTTCCAGTACGCCATCGATGCGCTGAATGCTGTAGTGGCGCTGTTGCAGATTGCATCCGGGTCGTCACAGATGTCGACGTTGGAGCCGGTCTTGATGGCCGCGGCAACATTGTTGTAGTTACCCGGCCAAGAAAGCTGCAAGGCGCCACGGCCATACCAGCAATTTTCGCCGTCGAGGGTGTTGCCCCAGAAGTCGGTGCAGCCCTGCGTAGCGGCTGTCTGGCCATTGCACTTGGTGACGGTCCAACTGCCGCTTGCCTTGGCCTTCGCGCTCGTGTAGTCGCCGACCTTGCCGCCACTGCATCTATTGGGCCCTGCTGGGCACGTACCGTCAGCGAGCTTCAGCCGCTCCTTGCACGCGGTAAACAGCGCGGTCTCGTACTTGACGTTTGCGACGAACGCAGCAAGCGTGCGCGCATTGGTCTCGACATCTTGGTCGTTGAGGAACTTTTCGTCAGCGCCTGACCGCGTGTTCCAGTTCGCAATCGCCTCGGAAAGGTGCGAGTATGTGTAGAACCCCTTGCAGTTATCGCCCGCAGGGCACGAGCCTTGACCATCAACGGGCTGCATGCCAAGGATCGAGGAGAGGTCACCGTACTTTGCCGCGATTGCGTCGAGCGCTGGGTCGCCGGTGGATTCCACGACGGGCAGCGACAGGATTGGAACAACGGCGGCGATCATCATCATTTCTGCGGCGTAAGCGGGATGGCGTGAGTCTCAGGGCGTGAATTTGTGCACTGTTGTTGGCCATGGGATGATCTGATGGCAGCTGCGGTGGCAGCAAGGTCAGATGTGCTGATGAGGGCACTGAGATGTTGTCGTGGAAAGCAAACGTTGGCGGGCCTCTCTGTGCGCACACCGAGTTTGCAACTTTTGTGTGCCTCGTGGCAATCGCTTGCTTCTCTGCGGTGTCCGCGGACTGGCTGTGTTGGCGCGGTGTGTGAGCAGGGATTCTCTGGGAGGCGCACTGTTGTGCAACTTGTGTGGTTGAGGAACAAACCAAGGCGGTCTCGAGGTCCTGAGCAAGCACAAAGGATATCGAGGTCTCGAAATTCGTCTTTCTGGCTAAAAAAGGAGGGAGGGCCTTACTTCTAGGAGAGCGGGTGCGGAGTCCCCGTCGCACGCTCCGATGATGCGGAAGAAAGAAAGAAAGAAAACAGACACCCCAAGGGAGGGATGGATGGGAGAACGGCACGCCGCCACCACACAGGGATTTTAAGGAGAGGAGTGTGATGCGCTAGCCGTCGCCTACCCTAGGGAGTCTGCTCCTTCCTATCTCTCTTCGCAGTCTCTCTCCGATTCTCGCTTCAACCTTCCATCGGAGTTCCCGTCGCACGCTCCGTTGACGGGGGCTGGGCCAGTTCATCGAATCGTTGAAGCATCCCAATCTACAACACAACAAACAACAAACAAATCTCTGTCCCCAATCTAGGTAGGCTGCACACACACACACAGAGGCAGAGAATCCTCGCTACCCAACGCGGCCAAAGGATATCCACCTCGAGAACCTCGAGAGGCAGAGAAAAAAATAAATTTCCGCGGAATCACGCGCGAGAGAGCTGCCGAGAGTCGTCAGCTGAACGAGTGTGTATATGCTGCTCGTCGCGCTCTCAGTCCCTGCCCTGCGCGTCGGCACGCTGCGCATGCAGCAGTCTGAGGACGCCGCCAAGGCCGCCTGGCTCGCCCGCACCGCCGCTGACGCTCCGTCG